GAGTAGTGGTCAGCCATAGATTGAACATCTCTATCATCTTGTGAGTGTCATTGTGGCCAGTTTGTGCTTCAATACTTCTCAATCGTTTTTGGTCCAAGTCAAGCATTGTACCAACTATGTACCAGTTAGTACTAACATCAACATGCTCCGTTAGCTCCTTTATAGTTGGACTAGATAACAAGAAACAACCCAAAGAGTTTTCCATGATGAGCCCCGCCCATAAACGAGCCCCACCCTGATTAAGTGGGCGTTTATCTTTATCTCTAAGACAAATTTTTCCTCTTCCTACATAAAGATGCTTCTGTTTCACTATTTACAAAAATTAATATACTGAAATATTAACAATAACTATTTGCCTATAAGAAAATAATATTTTATTTTATATTATATATCAGTTATGTAGTCTCATGTAGCTAGCCCCTCCCTCCATGCCTACACAACACTATCAGTTATGTTGCTGACTAGCCTAAATTTCTTGAGTGTATTATTGGTCTTGCATGATTCCATTAGTATCATTACTCCATCAGTATCAATGCTAGTATGGCTGAGATCAAGGTAACTAAGTGTGCTGTTTGTGAGTAAAAGTTCAGCCAGTGATGGAACACTGGCTGAAGTGATGCTAGGATTGTAACTAAGATCTAAGGATTCCAATGTTCTGTTATGTTGTAGTGATTGCACTAATGTAATGAGTCCATCATCCCTCATTGAATCACGGGTCAGGTTTAAAAATGTTAGTGATTTGTTGATTGATAGCTGAGATGAAAATGAGAGAATATCATCACGAGTTAATAATGTGGACTGTATGACAAGTTTTTTTATTGTTCCTTGCTTCAATACAATTGGTATTAGAAACTGGATATTCTCAGATGAAGACTTACTAAATATCAATATTTTATGATGGTTCTCCAGTTTATTGACTACCTCCATGCATTGATCTACTGATGAATTGATGAAATGGACACCTTTATGACTCCACACCACTTCTCCAGCCTCTTGTACTAATAAATAATAAAACACAAGTAGATCATAAATTTTAAGTAATGCATGTAATGCTGTGGCTATTACAGATGCTTTACCAGAACACATAAATTTAGAATACACCGTGAATATGCTAAAAATATATAGATTGATGAGAAGTACTTACTGGATGTATCACTATCAAATGATTCATCAGTTGATACATCAGAAGCAGATGCATACATGTTGTAATTGTTCTCTTCAAGTTCCAGCTTTAATTGCTTTATTTCTTGTAGCCTAATCTCTGACAATTCCTTGAGTGATGCCAACTCTCTCTCAGTATCTGTTAGAAGTTATGAAAAAGTAATAATTATGGTCAATGATATTTATAAGCTTGTTTCTATGAATACAAATTTTGTCAAGATTGTGACACCCAGCCACTTAGAATTTAACT